CTGGATATAGACTTGTCGCCAGGGCGTCTTGTGCCGTCGTATGGTTTAACGTTTCTGACATGTCGCTCGATTACGAGCGTCAATCTGTCTTCTGTCGATGCTTAAGCAGGAGACAAAGCGAAACAACTGAAAGACAACGTAAAGCGGCAGTGCGCCTGAGATCCTTCGTCAGATTGGCATAGTCGCGGAGGCGCCGCGCTGTGCCTGGTCGCGTGAGGGTGACCCGACCAAGGCGCGGCGGTCGCACCACTCTGTCATGCGATGGCAAGCGCACCTGCCAGCATCAGCTGCGGAAGTTAAACCTCCGGGTGTTTTGTGGCGCGGCTGCTCTGTGCGCGACGGGCGTGTGTGTGCGTGTGCGTGTGTGTGTGTCTGCCTCTGCTCGATATTTATGCAACCGTTAGAGGTAGAAACTTCAAACTTGGTCCAGAGGTGGACCTTAGGAGGCGGTGGAACCCTATTGATTTGATTGGTCAAGGATCACAGGTTCACATTTGATGAATGGATAGATAGATAGATAGATAGATAGATAGAAATATAGATTGATAGATAGATATGCGCTGAGTGCAGGTGGGGGAGGACTTGATTCCACAGCCAGCGCATGTGCCCTGGCGAATCCACTGCAAGGTTACGTGACAGACTACTGTATCCATTAGCTTGTGGTTGCGTGTTTGTAAGTCTACAGCCAGCGCACCTAGCGGAAGTGAACTGAATCGTGCATGTTTTCCAGGGAGATTTTCCATTAGATTTTCAAGATACGTTTTTTTAAACATTTAACCAAATAAATAACAAAAAGCAAAGTGTTAGAATCGAACCTGATGCGTATGAATGAAGCACGAAAAATTTCAGCCGGATTCGTGCATGCGCCTAGGAGTTATGCCAGAACAAACAGAACGACACTACTCAAATAATTATATAGATACGAGTTTACTAAATCCATGAAAGCACAACTAACAACTTGTATTTGTATTTTCTTGATAAAACCAAACAAAAAAGATAGCGACCTAAAACCAGGACTGACATGTTTAATATGTCTTTATTATTCGGATAGAAAACAGATATACAATGCCAAAACGTGCAAACAAGATATACATCTGATAATATTTTCATAAAGTAATACCTTTGGCTTTACAATATAAAACATCAATAACGATTTCATGCGCAGCGATATATTTTTCGCAGAGTACGTAACTGCCGACAGGAGTAACTACTATATATATATACCTGTTCACTCCTCCTTACAAAACATATAATAGCATAGATCAACATGAGCATGGCTCTGCCTTCTCTACACAGGTGGAGTATGCAGATAGCCCTTAACATGATTATCACCTAGGTTCTAGGAGATGGCCTCTGGCACTATTACTACCTAGGAAATGACCCCCAACTATCACTACCTAGGAGATTTCCCCGGTACAATACTACCTACATAGCACCCCCCACCCCCCGGCACGATCACTACTTAGGACATGACCCCCAGCATGTTTACCACGTAGGAGATGGCCCCTGACATGATAACTACGGCAAATACCTAGCTGTACAACTATTAATCCTTTCGTTCAAGGTCGTTGGATGGCTCTTGCAACAATCACTCAAATGCTGAGTGTTCTTCTCTGGATACAGTGAGCTACAGTTTATACCATAACTCTCTCTCGCAACTTTTTCTCGCACACTCTTTCCATCTCCCTTTTCCCTTCTCTCTCTCTCTCTTTTCTTATCCTGCGGGAACAGGACCAGCCTAGGTGGGCATAGTCATCAATGCTACCTCATCTCACTCATGATAATGTAGCTTGGATAGAAATTTGTCAACGTCAACCTTTTGCCAGGATTCTCGACTTTTTCCCTGAAGCAAAAAAAAAAGGTGAATAAAATACCATGTCTGAACTATAATATAGTCAGTTTAGATTTGTTGAGGAAGTTTAGTATCATATATATTCTGCTTTTCAGAGTATGGATATATACTTGTGTTGAATCGGAAATACGTTTCATTTCGCTTACCCTTGATGAGGTTTTCCTGCTTTTCTCTAGCATCTTTCCAGCCTCCACCTTGTTCTCCTTCTCTGCTCGGCGGCAATCTCTGTTCATCGCCCCCTCTGTCGCTCTGTCCTGCGCGGTCACTCGCTCGATCTCACTCTCAGCCGAAGCATTTCTCTGAGCATCTATCCGACCACCGACCCCTGGTGGCTGATGCACACCAGTCGCTGACCGAGAGTCCGTTCCAGAGACGTCTTGCACCGCGTTGCCTTGCTGTGATGTGTGAGCGCCACCTGGCGATACACGGCGCCTGGCGGCGTCAGCAGCCTGTGATTGGACGCGCGCAAGATTTGCCAAGCTCACAGTTCTCTCGACTGCGCGCGCTGTAGCGTCGACAATCCCACCAGGTGGCAACCCGCGCGTGCGATTACCGGCAATGATGTCAGTCATGGCTGGCATGACGACTTCCATCACTCTCCGCGCAAAATCGGCGTTGTCTGCTCCCGCCACCAGGGGCACCGCGCGCGGTGATCGGCGGCAAGTGTCCCCGCTGGCCGGAGACACGCCGGTTGAACGATCGTCACTAGAGCGCGCCGCCGCGGGAGCGTGCTTTGCCGGCGTGGCGGCGTGTTTAGTGGAGTCCGGCGGCTTGATGCGTTTTGTCGGCGTGCACGACAGCGCCACCAGTGTTTCCGCAGCCTCTTCCTCCTCGTCTCGTCCCGACTTACGCGGCGTCGCAGACTCAGCGCCGCCGAGACCGACCTTCACGCCACCTGGTGACGACAACTCGGATTGTCCTGTTGGAGGGTGCTGTGGAATGTCGTCTCCATGGGGAATGTTGTTGCTATGCGGAATGTCGTGTCCATGGGGAATGTTGTTGCTATGCGGAATGTCGTGTCCATGAGAATGCTGTCTATAGAATATCGGTCATGGAATGCTGCTAGACGGAATGTCGTTCCAAGAATTTGTGGCCTATGCGAATGTCGTGTCCCATAGAAGTGTTGCTAGAGTTGTGTGTTCTGGGAATGTGTGCTATGGTTGTCGTGTCCTGGAATGTTGTTGGCTATGGGTTGTCGTGTGCCTGAAATGTGTCCCCTGGATGTCGTCTCCGTGAGATGCCTTCCTATGGAGATTTTCATGTCATGAGATTCATTTCCATAGGTTTTGTTGTATCAGGTTGTCATCTCTATAAGGGTTTGTCATTGTTTTGTGGAACAGCAAAGCAGGAAATGAAGTCGTAAACCTCCATGCTTCACGTTGAAGATGTGGAATATTCCCAACTGTAAGCGCGATCTTTGGGAACGCTTCTCGATCTTTGTGTTTGCCGCACATCATCGTTATGCTTTCATCTACTTTGCAAAGCCTGCCACGCTTGCGCTTGGTCGCCGCCGTCGCCTCCCTGTGTGGGCTCCCTGTTTTTTGGCTGGCCCTGTTTGGCTGCCCGTTGTTGGCCCTGCATTGGGCTGCCCTGTTTTTGGCTGCCCGTTGTGCGGCCCATGCATTGGCTGCGCCGCATTGGCTGCCTGCATTGGGCTGCCCTCATTGGGGGCCCCTTTTGCCCGCTGAAAAACCCCCCTCCCTTTTGGCAAGTTTTTGGTTCCTTGCACTGCCTTGGAATCGCCCGTCTTTGACCGACTACTTTGTCGTAGCTTCTTTGAGTTTACTCTGCCTTTTCCTTCGTTCCATCATCATTACATCGCAGGTAAACTAGCAGCAGCCCGTTTCCCCACGAGGTGGCACTTTATTCTTGATGACGGCTGTCACCTGTAAGAAAACTTTCACACGTTCTGGGACGTCAGCCATAGTTGCTGAACATGTCGTTCTGGATGAAGTCAGCATAGTTGCTGAGCCTGGCGTTTCTGATGACGTCACTGATATAGACTTGTCGCCGGCGTCTGCCGTCGATGGTTTCAACGTTTCTGACGATGTCGTCGATATACGAGCGTCATCTGTCTCTGCTGTCGATGGCTTAACAGGAGACAAGCCGAACAACTGAAAGACAACGTCAAGCGGCAGCTGCGCCTGAGATTCTTCGTCCAGACTTGGCATGCTCGGCGGAGCGCCGCCGCGTGCCTGGCTCGCCGCTGAGGGTGACCCGACAAGGGCGGCGGTGCCACCACTCGTGTCATGCGATGAAGCGCCACCTGCCGGCATCGCTGCGGGAGGTAACTCGGCGTGTTTGGTGGCGCGCCTACTCGTGCCGGACGGCGTGGCGGGAGTGGAACGCCTCCTACTGGCTCTGGGTTCACGACGGCAACTCATGTCGCGAAACGGACGTGTTGTCTTCTGAGCGCTGGAGACCCGCGGCATTGTGGTCTCCACTGCAACTGTGGTGTAGAAGAATCAGCGTTAGAGAGTCAAGTATAATATGACCAGATGCTGAGTTGGAAATTAGGAGCGACAAGCAGCAGTTTTACTGCCTACAATTACTGCTGCCAAGAAATTCCTCAAAAACCAAACTAAAAATATTACAGGAAAAAGGTTACGGGGAATTTTTATTTCAAACGATGGCCAGTTGTTCAGGGTGGTTTTTTTCAGATCACGTTGACCCCAATTTACTGTTCATACTTCATTCGATGTGCAACTTGGGTTAGGCAAGGTTCGTGACTATATTTACAATTAACAAATCAGGGGAAACAAGGCTAGGATGCCTATACGCTTGAGAACTGTTCTAAATTAGATGCCATACAGCATAAATCTGCGAGGTGGGTATCTAAAATTATCGTGATAGTTTCGGGGCTGTTTTGACTCAACTTAATTGGCCCTTTCCTCGTATCAACTCTCACTACGAAAACATTATAACCTTTTGCAAATAATCTATCATGGCCAGGTGAAGATGCCTAGATGGTATGCCTTCATTTTAATGAAGCCTATTCGTAGCACTCAATCATCTGAGCTTCATTGCTTTCGACATGTCTTTTAAGGATCCCTTTAAATTGGAATTCGCTTCCTTCTTTTTTGGTTAATTGAAAAAAAAAAGGTTCTCTACTGCGATCCACGGTGTTGCTCTACTGACTTGATCAACGTTGAAGGCCAATCATTACGAGTTTAAGAGGTGAGGAGGCCAATCCAGCTTCCTAATGCACAGGGGCATCAGGGCAGTACTGTTGGAGTAGGGGGGGTTTGGAACAGTTAGTGTTTTCTCAAGTTTCTGCCTCTGTGAGTAAGTTTGCTACTTGCATTTTTCTCTGGCAGCAGGTAGTTGCTGCAGGAGCAAAAATGCTCATTTTTACCCCTGCAGCTAACTAGCTAGTGGTAAGAAAAATGAGGGGAGGGAATATAGCCGGCTGCCAGGGAGACTACGAAGAGGATTCGGAAGCATTAGAAGTATGTGGCAGAAGAGCAGGTGAGTGGACTTACCTGGCTGTGGTAAGAAAGCAGGTGTTATGGGTGCACGATACAGGTGTGCTGCTGGTAACACCTGCAGGGTAGGTGCCATAACGATTGGCATTGAAAGCTGCAGGGGCATAGAGATGCGTGGCAGGATCGGATGTACACGTCGCTGCATCGCACGAGGTACTGAAAAAGCCCGGAAATTTTTTTTATTCTGAGATGAAATTTCCTGCATTCTGAGGGTCAAAAATGACAATAAATTGACAACAAATGACAATAATTGACACACACAAAAAAATTTCGATCACCGTGAAATTCGTAGTTTGATACAAACTGGTCGTAGTGGTGCAAAAGGAATAGAAATTCGTATAAAATACGGATAAATCGTAGTGGTTGGCATCTCTGCCACGGTGAAAAACAATGAAGGTTGTCCTAGGTTGTCTTTACCGGCATCTCTCCCAGCATGCACCGGCAAAGTGTGACATCAGTCTAAGACCACTCACCGAATGTGACGTCATGATCAGATGTCAGATGTTGCAACATGCAACAGACGGTTGCCTGGCAACAACCAGTTTTAGATCATTGATGGTTCGGGTTTTGGCCAGTTCACTGATAAATCGACTTTATACACACCTGTAATAGGCACAACTGCTTCAGTGTTATGCTGTCTCGCAACGCATCCTGATGCCTTTCGACTAGTTTTCTGCAATTGAAACAAGAGATGATACATAGTGTGTAAAGATAAACGGTTATATGATTCACGTATGTGAAATAGAGATCGGGGGCCTATTGTCAGAAATATCACGAGTGGCTATGAGATCATAAATCTAAAACATCATATTTTTGAAGTGAATGTTTTGCAAAAGTTATTCAATTTTAGACTAATGACAGTCTTAAGTAGTGAGCTGGGTCTGGGTCCAGCTCTGAGGTGGAGCATATATATACACTGCAATACCCCATGTTGATTTGACTCGTTTACTGTTCGATACTACTGACTACTGACTTACAATGCTAGTGACGAATAACTCACATATCATCTGCTCAGAGAGAAAGACTAACTCACAACAAAAACCTACCACGCGTGTTTCGACCTTTTTGCGTTTAACCGACGTTGCTGCTGCTGGTTTTATTTTTGCTGCTCGTCTTCTTGTCGTTTTAGTTGTTGCTGCTGCTGTTGTCGTTTCTGATATTGCACTTTTTGGTGAACTCATAACTGCAGCTGCTGGTACGGACTTTCCGAACCCTGTTGCAATAATAAGACAATTAAGAACACTGTGACACTAAGGCATAAATATTTATGTATTTATATATTTTATGTATATCATGTTCAAGAATTGGTGGGTATGCATTACAGAATGTACATATTATGAGACAAGTAATTTAGAGACAAGTAAATTATGAATAATAAAATTAAGCAAAATGAATTTAATTTGGTGAAAACACGATTAAGCTGGTAATCAGATGAACATGACATACCTAGTGACTAGGTGGACATACGACTTATCTGTTGACCAGATAAACATGCAACTTACCTGGTGACCAGGTGAGATATTGCAGCATCCGGCTTCCTGTCTTCTGTGGTGTCCTAGCCGCGCCTACCAGTAGATCCACTTCGTTAGCTTCACCGTGACCGTGTCTGCCCAAAACCTCGTCACCGGCAGGTGGCAGCACGTGCGTGCCAAACTGTCTAGCAGATGATGAGACACCGCCATGCTCAATTGTCAGCTGTTCTGTTGTGACACTAGGTGGCAGCACTTGTGTATCCACGGACGGAGGACAGGGATAGCAAGCGGATGCCAGTAGTGCCATTCCCGGCAGCTCATTACTGTACGATGTCATCACCGAGGCACTTTGAGGCAGAACGGAAAGCCCGGACACAAGTTGCAACCAGGCACCATCCGATGGCTTTGGAGTAGCATTGTCGGCGTGAGCTCCCCCTATAAAATCCAGCACTGTATTTGTGCCCTCCCTATGACCTGACGAAACTAGCTGTTCCTGCTGAAGTGGTGGTTGAATGGACATGTTGGCCTGTGTTGTTAGTTGTTGGCAGCCTTGTACAGGGATGCCTGATGCTGGATTCGTCTGGATTGGCTCTTGAATGCAGGCTCCATCTAGTGGCCCCACCTGGCAGCTAAGTATCCTATTTCTGGACACATGAGTGGTGGTAGTGATGTCTGCACATAGCTGAGCAGGATTCCTCTCAGGGGTGACGCTGATACTAGCCCCTCCTGTATCGATGACGGTGACACTAGAGTCACCTGTATCGATGACGGTGACACTAGAGTCACCTGCAGATGTGACACTGATACTAGAGTCACCTGTAGCGGTGACACAAACGCTAGCGTCTCCAGGACCTGTAGGTGGGACGTCAACACCAGCACCCGCTGTACGTGGGACACAGATGCCAACGCCACCTGTAGGTTTGTCGCCGACACTAGCGCCCCCTGCAAGCGCATCACGGACACTAGCAGCTCCCAAACCAGAGCCGATATTGCCAAACCGAAGCTGCTTGGAGACACTGGACGGCGTACTGGCCGCCAGATGGCGCCGCGGGGTGCGCGAAAGAATGCGGGGGCGCCGGGGGCTGTTCAGACTCAGTATGTTGTCCGTCGTGCAACTCGGGGGCGTGTGCCACCAGGGGGTTGACGGCGACTGCCCCGTCAGCTGACTCGACGTGATTGGTTCATCGTGGATGGTGGTGCCATCTGCTGGCGCTGCCGTGCGGCGGGGGCAGCCAATCACGCGATCGATGTAGGAGGTGTCGCTCGAAGCGGCGTCGAACTCACACAGGTGGCGCTGCGTTGCAGGGTTGGATAGCTTACGCAGGTGGCGCTGAGGTGCAGGGTTGGGTAGAACACAGGTGGCGCTGTGATGCAGGGTTGAATAGATCACAGGTGGCGCTGTGGTGTAGGGTTGGCTGACTCACACAGGTGGCGCTGCGGTGCAGGGTTGGATAGCTTACGCAGGTGGCGCTGAGGTGCAGGGTTGGGTAGAACACAGGTGGCGCTGTGATGCAGGGTTGAATAGATCACAGGTGGCGCTGTGGTGTAGGGTTGGCTGACTCACACAGGTGGCGCTGCGTTGCTTCGTGGTGGTCGCCGTGTGTCACAGCAGGGCCGGACACACCACAGCTGTTCACTTGAACGACGCTGATCGTAGATGACGCTGTCCCATGCACCGCTGCCACGCCTGATGCCGTTCCATCCTCCATCATCCCCCTTGATCTCATGTCATTACGCTTGGCAGCTGCCATCGCTCTGAGAGTCCTCGGGCTCAGATAAAGACTCTGCAGAAATCTTTCTTTCGGCGACCGCTCCAAACCATTCTTACCACTGCCGCTAGGTGCCGTGGACATTCTCTCCAAGCTTGCTGTTAGCAGCGCTCCTGACAAATCAACCGTTATTGATGGCCGGGTGTCCTCACTGCTTCTACCGTGGCTGCAGTAACCAGCAGCGGGATCAAGCTTCTGAGAAGTGGCATGGGCAGCACGTAGAGGCTGCTGGAGGCTGGATGTCTCGACGGCTGTCTCTGGCAGGGTTCTACAACAACCAGAGGGCGCTGCCGTGCCGTCGCGAGATGCGCCGACACCGCAGCTGTCCTCCTCAAGGTCACCGAGATTAATAGTGCTCAGCTGCTGCCGCTCTCCACCGATCATAGACGGCAGCACCACATCGAAATCCATGCTGCGTTCAGCTAACGCGCCTGCTCGGCGGCAGTCTAGGGTAGAATCTGTCACGATTCCGTTGTTGTCGGCAGAGGGAGCCTCCGTAGCAGATTGTCTGTGCAGAGCTACGTCATTGGTCTGTGTCAGAGAATGACTGCGACTAGCAGGCGTGTCACCAGCAGGGGGCGCTTTCGATAAGGTAGTTAGTTTGACACGCCGTGGTCGTTTTTGTCTGGTTTGTGCTGGTTTGGACTTCACCACAGCACGAGTCTCCTCCACAACACTGGCTGGTGTGATGGGCGGGGCGTATGGTGACACAGAGAGAGCCGTTGAGGTTGTGGGAGGAAGGCACGGTGCACAAGAGGAGGTTGCGGTGGTAGGAAGAGGCCACGAGGCAACAGAAGTAGAGGCGGTGGTGGGAGGGGGCTGGTACTCAAGAAAGGAAGTAGTGGGTGGTTCATCAAGCGTAGACTGATGTGGGGTAGATGGGGACGAGATCGAGGTTGGCATAGTTACGCTGGCAACATCAGATGTAGAGACGCTTATTGCAGGAATGCTTGGCAAAGGCATGACAACACCAGCAACACTCAGTGTAGGCACAACTGTGTCGGGAACACTTGATGTTGGCATGATTACACTAGCAACACTCAATGTAGGCACGGCTATGCCAGCAACACTTGATGTTGGCATGATTACACCAACAACACTCGATTTAGGCACAGTGACGCTAGCAACACTTGACATTGGCACGATTACACAGCAACACTCGATTTAGCAGCGAGTTAACGCTAGCAACACTTAATGTTTTGGCATGATGGTTACACCACAACACTCGATTTAGGACAGTTAGCGGGCGCTAGCACAACACTTGATGTTGGCATGATTACACCAGCAACACTCGATTTAGGCACAGTGACGCTAGCAACACTCGACATTGGCACAACTGTGTCGGGAACACTTGATGTTGGCATGGTTTTGCCAGCAACATTCGAAATAGGCACAGTTACGCCAGCAATACTTGAAGTCAGCGTGGTTATGGCAGCAACACTGGATGAGGGCATGGTGATGCCAGGGCCGCTCAACGTAGCCATGGTTACGCTGGCAACACTCGATGAGTCATGCGGTTCTTCGGAGGTCTCACGACATTGATCATTGGCTGCAGACATCGCGCCCTTATACGGTGCCACCGACCCACTTCCTACTGCAGGCATGGAGGAGTCTGTCGCCTCCACGAGCGAACTCGTTGCCTCGGTCATTTCTTGGCGCCCCCTGTTGGACGCAGACAAGTCAGATGAGGTCATTAGTTTTGTCGACAAAGCTTGAATGTCAGAGGTGATAAGGTCAGAGTTCACAGGGTCAGAGTTCACGGGGTCAGGTACAAGTCCACATATCACATCGAGCATAGAAAGTTCGGACATCGTCTGCGAGCGGCGTGGCTGTCGCCGCGGCGACGTGTCTACAACCAGGTTGCTGACGTCGGGCGATCCCTTGCCACGCTCCTTCGAATGTTCACTTGTCAAAGGCGAATGCCACGGGACGCCTTCGGCACTCGACGAATCATGGCACGGAGATCTTGTATGGGAAGCGGTCGTCGCGGGATGCGCAGACGATGCCGGAGCCATCGCCACGACGACGGGCACAGCCGACGTTGCATCCATTGATTTCGATGTCGTCGCGCACGTGTGAGCTGGCCGTGGACTGGCAGAGGGCGCTCCTCTGGAGTCGGACAACATTGCCACGGCGCAGGAGGGTGACCGAGGTGGCTTTGCCAATCTTACCGCAGCTGGTGGCGTAGCAGGCCGCAGAGGTGCTGCCATCAGGGGAGCAAACGACGAACTATCAACAGGGTCTGTACATCGCAGCTCGGTTGATCTCGGCAGCTCTGTTTGTGGTGTTGTTGCCGGCACAGCACCAGTTAACACGGCCACACTGTCGCCACCTGGTGTCACCCCATGCGGTCGATTACCGGGCGAGCACGGTGCAACGTTCGGTAAATCGGGCCGAGACGTAGCGCCCTCTACACGTAAACTGCTGCAGCTTAGATTGACCTGATTTATAGATTCTACCGTTTCGTCCGTACCACGCTGACTCACGTCTGCTGCCGACCCAGCAACACAGGCGCTACCTGGTGGCCGAGATGAAGAGTCTAATTGGTTGCCTTTCAGCGCTGCGCCAAGTTCGTGGTTACGTGCGGGGATAGTGGATGCAGTTGCTGTGACATGTGGCATTGTCGAGTTAGCTGGAGGTTTGTGGGACGTCTCCAGTCCATAGTCATCTGAAAATCGAGCAAGATCTGTTGAAGTCTACCGAGGTCGAACACTGGAACATTCTAAGCTCAAAAATTACCTGACCGCCTAGAAAGATTACTTGGAAAAAATCGGAGAAAAGAGTAATAAGACTATGATAATTTTTAGTTAACTTAATTTAATGTAGGATTTAATAGCAGACACAGCAGCCCTCCATGTGAACTGGTGAGCTGGTTGTGTCCACCACAACAAATGTAATGGCTTTGCATAACTCTTTAAAAACACTTTATGAAACTTGGTGCACATGGCTACAAGTTTCTGTGATCAATGTTTATAAATGATATCATGAGAGGGCAGAATTCAAACCTAGATCGAGGATGTTAAAGAGTCCTTCAAACAGCGGGTCATGTTCGGTCATTTCCATGGCTCCACGAACCCACTCGTCTGGCACCTGGTGTTGCTAAAAGTAGAAGCGGAGCATGAGGCGAGAAATGACTGTATGTCACTTGCCAAGTTAACCGATCTCAGTCGCCTCTATGTGTAACTAACTGCTAGAGCATCAGGACTCAAGCACTGGCAGTGAGCCCTAGCGTGATATGATGTGTGACTGACTCAATTATAACGTGACACTGTTAAGTGATGATGTATAACTGGAAAAATGTACAAGTATAAAGTATAAAATCCAAGTAGTAGTATTGTCCAAGTTCATGGAGCTTTCGTGTGACGTGTACAAGTGCCTGAAATACGCTTGTCTGCAATTGGTTAATTAACATTTTTGTCAATGGCTGTAGGTATATGCCTGTCACACTGTAATTTGTAGTTAGAAGGATTGAGATTGCCTTTTTGGCAACGTGCTGAGCATGCAAAACACAGTGCATGAAAAACAACACAGTAATTAAAACAAAGTGCAAACATAATACAATGCAATACATGCAAAACCTAATCCATGCAAAACATAATGCAAGCAAAACTCAGTACAAGCAAAATACAAAGCAAACAAAACCCACTATATGAAAAAACAAAAACAACGTATGCAAAACACAATACAAGCAGAATGCCCTGTAAACAGAACAAAGCATAAACATAATGCAATGCCAACAAAACACGGTACAAACAGAGCTGAGATCCTGATATCTGCATTTACCTGATTCTCAAATAAGTCCAAGTCAACTGGTGGCACAGAATGAGGAGTTGGCGGCAGACTACCAGAAGACTGTCGCCCTGAAACCTAAAATTGAAAAAAAAATACAATTAACCCATCTCTCCGAGTCATATAACCAAACCGTAATTATATATTCTTGCTAGGTGTTGGTCAAACTCTCACAGTTCATGTGTTTTTCATGAGTACACGCCAAATAGTTGAATTTGCATTACTTTGTTGCCAAGCATTGCCTAAAGGGGGGCTTATGTCAGGCTTGCGAGCCGACTCGACTGGAAGCAACTGGCTGCAATTCACTGTGACTGCAGTACTTAGGTCGGTCGACTGCGACGCGACTGCCTGCGACTGGCCGCCACTAGTTGCTCGGAATAGAATGTGGGCAACTGGACGCAACTAGTCGCTGCCAATCGCTTCCAGTTGCTCGAAATCCAGTTGCTTCCAGTCGAGTCGGCTCGCAAGCCCGACATAAGCCCCCCTTTAAGCATGTTCCACCACAACAATGATTGACTAAAACAGCATGTGAAATACGTTATTTCCATATGCTGACAAATCATGCTTGAGCACTATTTCTCCCAATAGATGACACCTTGACGTCATATTTGACTACTCACTTTGTTAATGTTCTCAGCAATTTTCTCATGTAACTCCCTGTTGTTCATCATACTGCCCAGCAGTTGCTGCAAGAAAGGACACAAGAGATGAGAAACATAGGCAATATGGCTACATAACTCATGCACAATGGCAACAATATGGTAACTCAGCTCACCAATACAGGCACAATAGCAATAATATTGCATCACAGCTCACAAATTCAGAGACAATGGCAACAATGTGGGTACACAGCTCACAAATGTAGGCATGATGGCAAGCAAAAGGTACGGAGATCCATAAATATCCATCCGAAAATATGGCAACATGGTTCATACAGGACTTGTTGTAAATCACACAGAATTCAATGGAAATTATATGTACCGGTAGAACGGTTTCGACAGCATCGAGTAATTCCTTCTGCTCCTCCGCTGTAAGCTTGTCTGGTGTCGTTTCTCCATCATTCACTTTCTTTCTCACCGCACTCCTGCAATGTTACAAAGAGGTAAGTGTCATATATGCACAAATGCTATACATATACATTTACATAATTGATAACTTGGAAGGGGTGATCTAGACACACTTTCTGTAGAATGATGCATAGCATAGATTCCTGGAAGGTGCTACATCTGGTTCACCACTTGTTGACTTAAACCAGAAGGTGCCAAAGCAAAACAAATATCAACCAAAAAATCGTGAGATATCTAGTTCATGCTCATCCTAAAACACCGATCAATCACTAGATAGACTACTATTAGATCAGTCACTAGTCAGTAGTGAACTAGGCAGTCTAAAAACCTGACATCTTGACAACCCCTACTAGAGGCATATAAAAAAGGGACAGATTTGTTGACAAGAATTTTTTTAGGAATTTAGAAGACTTTAGGAATATTTTTTACATGACATTAACCCAATCTTGAATTCATCACAGAGGAACCCATGTTTATGATAGATTATTGGCATATGGGAGCCAACGTGACCCCACGACTAGAACCTGTTTCACAGGCATTAAGTGTTGCGAACCAAAAAGCAATCAACAAACAAACGAATGTTGCCTCATGCTCCAGCAGAATTCCATACTGAAGTGGCTGCTTATGCAGACACTAATCCACACTCAAGTTAATTATTTCAGAATAAAATGCAAACTCGTAGAAACTACCCGCTATCTATCTTGCCTAACGAACATGTCTAACATCTCACCGTTTCCGTTTCTTGGGACTGTGCTTCACATTCGCTCCACGCTTCCTGCGCGAGACAGCAGCAGGCGCCACGGGTGACCGAGTGTCATTGTCATCGCCATCTCGTGAGCCGGCAGCCAGGGCTGTTGCGCTGGTCGCAGGTTCACTCTCGTTGGTGCCCACCACATCAGTCTGGCCACAAGAGACGCCTGCATCCCCGCGCAAGTCTTCTACTCTGCCACGCACACGACTAGTGGCTCCGCCTCTTGGCAATGATTGAAAACCTTGCGTGTCCACGGCGCGTCGTCTGGCACACGCCGATTTCCGCCGTGTTGGTGGCGCCACCTTCTTCGGTATTTTCGCCTGGCTTCGAGTGTTCGTTCCTGTCCCCGGGTGACTATTCCCGTGCTCCTCTGTGTCATCTACTTCTGCTGGTTGAGAACCATCATTGCCTTCTGCAGTCACCTGAGGTGAGTCGTCAGTGACCTCTACATCAACCTGCGATGCATCTTCAGTGACCTCTACATCAACCTCGGACGAGTTGCCACTGCCCTCAAACTCCAGCATCGTCGGGACCACGTTGGAAGTTCCCTCGACGGAATACTGATCCGTCGCCGCGGCGACCATCTGCCGATCCCGAGCACACGTCGCCGTGGTTACGGGCGGCTGGTGCGGTGGGTCTATGTGCGGCATGGATGGCGTGTGAGAAGCCGCAGTAGCAAGGGTGTGTTCTGACGTTACCTCATGCGGCATGCTGGCGGCCATCCTGCCGATGAATCGCACGTCCCTCGGTGCTAGAGATTGAGAGATGCAGATTGCTTCTGTAGACCGATTATCGTTAAATATCAGTGCCTATTTTAATGGTTTTTTAATCAACTCGTTATTATAGTTCACGATGAATTGAAGGGTGGAAAGAAAGAGAAAGAGGAGGGGAAGAGAGAGAGAGAGAGAGAGAGGGATGGGAGGGGAGGGGAAAGGGGAAGGAAGTGAGAGGGAGATGGAAAAGGAGATGGACAGGGAGAGAGAGAGAGACACAGAGAGAGCGAGAGAGAGTTTGTACACATATGTAACTGTAAATAACATGTAATCTCAGAGGTCAGTACAGGTACACACCATATATGCTTCCTGTAACACCGAGGCAACGTGAGGCCACATAGCAACAAATGGTGACGAGTGCTCACCTTTCTTTGTATTCACCATCATTACACGATTCGGTGGCGTGTTCGAATTAATCACCATACGGGCAGCAGGTGGCGCTGCAAGCTGGTGCTTCAACTGCATCAAGGTGGAGTCGAGCTTAGTCCACAGTCGTGCGAGTGGAATGGACGTCACATCTGTGAAGAGATACACGTAATACTTTAACTAGGTATGCATAAAGGGAGTCCAATGGACTCCTTGCTACCAAAGAGCAGGACGAGATTAGCAGAAGTAACCACTAATATGTACTATCATGTCATTTGCTGTACATTACTGTAGAATATGATCTACAAATGTACAAGCAATAAATGTCTGAATTCTTGGGGTATCAAACAGACTCCTGCTGATCAATGGAATATCATGGAATTTGACAAATAACTCATAAAACTGGAAGTAAATTGTTCTGTAATTGCATTACTTTAGACCTTCCCTCACGCAACACTCCCTCCCACTCACACAACCCTCCCTTCCCTCACGCAACACTCCCTCCC